CTTCCAATGCAACTATTTCCAATTACCAATTATTAACATAACCCCAAAGTAACTATTCCATTTATGTAAATATTTATCTACTCCCTAAGCAAATATTTTCATTTACCAAAATGTTTATCTAATTCCACAACAAATATTCTCATTTACATACATCCAAAGTTTTTTTCTTCCTTAATATCCGCGTAAAAAAACAAATGTAACTGTAGAAAAGTAATGGAGGGAATAAAGACTACTTTTTACATTAAACTTAAATTAAGAAAAAAAAGGGACATGGTAGTTGATATGATGATTGGGAAGACCGAATGATGATTAAATAATTGGAATCATGCATGAGGAAATTAAGTTAGATGAAAATTGTTCTTAAAAGTTGTATGGAAAAGTGAAAAAGGTACTCTCCTTGTTCCTAAAAGACGATTACGTTTGCTATTTTAAGCACTCGTCTTTAATGATTATGTTTTAATTATTTCCTACTCCCTTTGTTCCTGAAGAAGGTTACGTTTGGTGGTTTTTCACGGTTAATAAAGAAAATAAGAAAGTGGAAAATAAGTTGGGTTGCGAACAATCTGAGTCGAGCTGAGTTTCAATTTGTTCATAAGCTTGATAAGAATTATTCGTGTTCGAACAATCTCGAGCTTGAACGAGCTTTTAAAAATCTTGTTCAAGCTTGGCTCGTTAACAATTTGGCTTGTCCGAGTTTTGTTCACGAACACACTCGTTTGCATTTCGAGTATAAATTCAAGCTTAAACAGGTTTAAATCGGGCTTGATTATATAAACGAGCCCTAGTTTATCATCACAAAAAAGATTTCTTTCAAGTTTTATATAAGATGTTTCCTTCTTTCTATAGAAAAAGGTAATAAAAGAGTTTTCATGCCTATATGTAATGAAATAATTGGTACTCTTTACAAATATGTATGAGTAAAAGATGCATAAATTGACCAGAGTTTTATTTAGGCATGAAAAAGCTTTTAATTGAACTTAAACGAGTTGTTCATGAACATTATTGAACCGAACATGATGTTGTTCGAGCTTTGTTCATCTATTTGACGAGCTTAAGACTTTTGTTCAAGCTTGTTTGTTAGTTTAACAAACGAGTTTTGATCGAGTTTTGACTGAGCTTGTCCGCGAGTAGTTCACGAACGTATCAACTCGTTTACACCCCTAAAAATAAGTGTTAAATTAATTTTGAAAATAGAATTATTTGTATTGGGAGTAGGTAAATATTTTTGTAAATAAGAATTGATGCTTTGGGAATATGTAAATATTTTGATAAATGGGGATAGTTGCATGGAAAATATGTATGTATGTGGGAATTGTGTAAAAGATCAATTGAAACATAACCATTAAAGGGGAGCGCCAAAAAGGGCAAACTTTAACCCTCTTTTAGAATGGAGGGAGTAGATTAAAATAATAATTTTTTTTACACATTTCGCATATACTTACATTTTTTTTCATGTAACTATTCCCGTTTATCAAATTATTCTTATAGTCCCGATGCGATTATTCCTATTTACCTACTCCCAATGCAAATATTCCTATTTTCAAAGTTGATTTAATTCCTTAGTATTTGATATATGTGGCATCCAATTATTGCTTTCCACCATCTTATTTTCTCCTTATTAACCGTATAAAACTACCAAACGTGACCTTTCGGGAAGGAGGGAGTAATAGATTTTGGCACATTAACCATATAATTATAGGGATGGGAGTATTTTGACCATATATTGAAAGATTTAATATGAGAACAACTTTTGATTCTTCCTATTTGGAAACGGGAAGAACAAATAGGATCGAAGGGAGTAAAAAATTTGTGTTGGAAATTGTCCTGTTTATTTCATGATACTAACCCAAATATTGAGCTTTGCCAGAGAACTATCTGATCTCCTTCTGCTCCTTAAATTAACATAGTTGTTAATGCTCTTAGATTGAGATTGGACAGGTGCTGTCTTCCAAATTTTCCTTAAACCTCTAAGAGTCTAAACTTTAAATCCCTTAAAGATAAAATCTTTTTGTTGTGAAACAAGTAACTCCGTATCTCGGTACTTTAATTACAACAATAGCCAAGCATCTGACATAGTATTCCTTTTTCTGGCTGTTGGTTCTGCAAGTTATGACCAATGTTAAATTGTCATTAGTTTTTGTTCCAGTGAAAGCATTTATCCTTTTTTGGGAGGCTCTGACCTTCAAATAAAATTTGGGACAGGAATATATTGAAAATTATTTGATAGGACCACCTATCAAATGTAAGATAACACCTTCTATAATTGTATTTATGGGAAATCACCTTTTATGTCAAATTTATTAAAAAAGGTGCCTTTTCACCAAATTTTGGTAAATAGTCAATTCTGATCATTTTCTCCTCCTTTTTTGTACATGTACTCTTGTGCATGATTTGCTCTCACAATTAAAACTTAGTCTCTCTTAGGGGTTGCTCTGGAATAGGTGTTTATTGTAATGGGAGGGTGAAAAAAAAGTAATAATTCTGAAATTTTTTAAAGTTGTGATCTGGGTAACCTATTCCCCTAAATAAGGGGGTCAATAATTACCCACCTCCCCTACTGTAACCGTTTCCCTAGTAAAAAAAAAAAAAAGTTAACTCTCCTCTGCTATTATCTTCTATATACTATCTCCTCACCTCCATATCTCTCCGCCATTATAGCTGCCCAATAGAAGCAGCTGGCCACCATCATAGCTACACGACGAAGCTCACCAATGCCGGCGAATAATGAACAAGTACCTCAAATTGGAGCCATTGGTTGAACAGAGTTGATCTAAAGGTTAGGGCTTTTGATCCTTCCAGTGAGGCGATGCTCGTGGTGTACTCAATTATATCATTGACATGGTGGTTGCCGCTGATGGCCCTGAAATGGTAGTCCTTATCCCAAGATTGTTGTCAAAACCTTAAAAAATGAAAAATTACCCCCTCAATCATCTAACCCATTAAATATTTCTTGTCTTCCCTATCTTTCTTGTTCAATTCCCAAATCTAACATATATCGAATTTCCAACCCAATTAGCATTTTTTTTTTGGGTCAAGTCAGTTTACGGGTAACCTCCCTTTGCCATTCTATCAATTCTCTTCCTTATATGGTCTGAAACTTGTTTCTGGTTAATCAACAGTCCACCATTTCATCTGTGCAAAATGAAGATTGCATCTGCATTGTACGAGTCCTAAAGGCTTGATGGTGCAGAGTTTGAAGGCATTATAAGTGAAACAAACGGTTACAAATTGCAAAATTCAAGTCATCAAAAATTTTTAAGCCCAAATAAAACAATTGAAGAAATTTAACACCATTACTTGTCAGTCAAATGTCCTGCCCAAATTACTGGGAGCCCTTCAATTAGATTTTTTATTTCCCCGACTCTTGTGTTAAGATAAGGTGAACGATGAGAGGAAATGCTCTCTTGTGTTTAAATACAAGCAGCGGAGGGGTGGGAATTCAGTGGTGTTGGAGTTAAATAGGGAAGAAAGAAGAGATTATAGTCAGATAGGCTAGTGATTGTGGGGGAAATGGGGTTTATATTGTGAGCGTATTTCATGTGCCAGTCATTATCTTTGACTTGTTTAATATATGGAGAAAAGGGAAGTCAAATGTCATATGTTAGACTTGTTCGCCGGAATCAGGTGAAATGGTGTCTTTTTTATTTTAACAGAATTGACATAAAAGGTTTTCTCGTAAAACTAAACATAAAAGCTCTTGTTCAACAGACTTTGGTTGGTGAAATAACTATGATTGGCTGCTAGAAACACTTAAACATACACGATTACACAGTATATATGCTTCTCCTAATAAGAGACTTTGAAAAGTCCAATAAAATTGAGAACCTCCTCCTGGTATCCTACTTAGCCAACAATTTTTCTGCTTCCTTTGAAGATTCCAGTTATCAGAAAGCCTATTGACAAGGAAACCTGAGATTCAGAAGATGGTCAAAAAGTTGTAAATAGGATTAATCCTATCTTCTTGTTTTCTTTGTTGCTTGGTTTCTCTAATTACCTTGCTATACTTGTGTTGGACATTTATGCAATACCTTGGATCTAGATAAGTGAACAAAGCTCTAAATTGTACAATCTGCTAAAGGAGGTAATCTACACAATATGGAATCCAGAAGGAATCCACAAAAATTCTATTAATATTATAAAACAGTAGTTATGGAGTTTGAAAGCCTTTCATTGTAGTATTTGTGAAACTATATCCACCAGGCTCTTTGTTTTTTCCACAACAGGATTTGACATTTCAAGAAGCTGAGACCATAGCTCTTTCGACCTTGAAGCAGGTTATGGAGGAAAAGGTATTTTTTCGCCCTTGATTATAGTTAAGTTGTGAGAAAGGGTTTGTGTCATTGGTGCTCTAACAGTCTAACACTCTAACCCTCCTTTTATATTGCAGGTGACACCAAACAATGTTGACATTGCTAAGGTTTCCCCAACCTACCACTTGTATACTCCTGCTGAAGTGGAAGCTGTCATTGCTCGCCTATGAGAAGCACCCTACTTTCAACTGCCGTTCCTATCTTGAATACTTCCTATTTGACCGGCATTGATATACTTTCTAGAGCTTAGATTGGGGAAATGATGTTTGCTTCCTTCTGAATTAGAGAAAACGTTGCCGGGGACTTATTCGAACTCTTATTTAAATGTATTCAAAGTTACTGTTAAAGAACTCAGTACTTCCTATATGGCCGGCATTAATATGCTATCTAGAGCTTAGTTCGGGGAAATGATGTTTGCTTCCTTCTGAATTAGATACGGTATATTGCCGGGAACTTATTCCAATTCTTATTTGAATGTATTCAAAGTTGCTGTTAAAGAACTTGAGATAGGAACTTATTGCTAAATTTTTATGCTTCCAAGACCTGCTTGCCATTTTCAATTGTTAAGTTTCATGTTGCTTGATTAGTAAAGAAGTTTATGATCTCACTTAATCAACCGCGAGTTTATGAGGATTTTTTTAATGCATGATCTAGCAATCTACCAGCAACTTTTCCCAGATAAGTTGGTGATAATCTGTTTAGAGGGGGTCTCATGACTATCATCTCAAATGTTTTGGGAGCCTTGTGAAATACGTAGTACATCTTTCGTTCTTTTATGTTAAATCTTATTCATCTTGCTAGTATTAAAAGATGAGTTATGAAGTATTTCTTTTTTCTTTTATGTTATCTTATTTATTAGTCACTCTAGATTCACGCATGACATGTATTGTGAAATGGATGAACTAGTAGGAGCATATTGCATTTTCGTACTGTTGGAAGTAACCGTTACTAGCAAATCTCCTATATAATTCTGACCAGCAGATCTTCTAGCGTAAAAACTAGTTACGATCTCGAAAAAATTTCAAGGCACATATGGACGAGCATTACATTGTGGATGCACATCACTCCTTTGGGTGTGTCTAAAACCTTTCAGCTCACCAGGGCCATTGTTGTGGTTCTATAAGCTTGCATTTTCACGCACGAGCGGTGTAATTAGTTTTACCTTAAACTATGAAGTCTGTGGAGCATAAATGGATATGTATATTGTTGCTTTCCACATTCAATCTTTAATATGGAGGCAAAAAATAATATCTTTTTGCGATGTTAACCGATTTTTATTGCACAGCATATATAGATAAAGATATTCTTCTTTTCCATCTTGTACATAAAAAATTGCTCCATATCCTCTCCATTTTATGAGTTTCACTTTTCTTGTCCTTGATGCTAAGCAAATTTAGAGATTAGACGAGCATACTAATATGACGAAAAAGCATTCATCTCATTTAAGTTCGACTGATTGCCCTCTCCTCATTTAATTGTCTGCTTGCTTGGAGAGTCCTCCTTTGAGGAGAGTTTCTTTGGAGAGTAGGGATTAGCCTGCTGTTCCGTTGTCAAAGTGCTCGAACGTGTCGGGGTACTTTGGGCAGTTGAAGATGCACTTGGGGGTGACTGGCATTCATTGGCTAAGTAGTCAAGTGCCACCACAATGTCGCTCATACAGGGTCGTAGGTTTGGTTCGTCGTTTAAACACATGGAGGTAACAGCAATCAGGTGACGGGCAGAGCGGGTAGGGAACTTCCCCCTCAGCCGAGGATCTACTATGTCAATGTACTTTCGTCGATATTTCAAATAGGGACGAGACTGCAACCATTTGAAGATTAAAGAAGATAATTTAATGATCAAAAGAGACTTATTCTTGCTCCGTGAAAATTAAAATTTCAGCTTTTGAATCTTACCCAAACAACTAGACTCTGATGGCCATGCCTCTTTGTAATGTCGAATGCCTTCCTTCCTGTAACAATTTCCAACAAGACTACGCCAAAACTGAAGATGTCAGATTTTAAGGTAAGTTTTCCAGTCATAGCATATTCTGGAGCACAATATCCAAATGTTCCCATCACCCTTGTTGACACATGAGTATTGTCATCCATAGGACCGAGCTTTGCAAGTCCAAAATCCGAGAGCTTTGGGTTGAACTCGTTATCCAACAAGATGTTGGCTGACTTGAGATCGCGATAGATTACAGGTGGCTTTGCAACACAGTGTAGATACTCTAGTCCGCGTGCAGCACCAGCAGCAATCTTTACCCGCGCATTCCAATCCAGGGCATCTTTGTCACTCTCAAGATCTAGGAAAAAATAACAATTAGAAAGCTAAATGACATTACATAATGATCCATGAAACAGCAGTAAGAAACTGAAATTGCTGTCTTGTTTGTGACAGGAAAACAGGCAAATAGTTACCGAAAAGATGGTCAGCCAAGCTGCCCTTGGGCATGTACTCGTAAACCAAGATTCTTTGATCGCCTTCAGCACAATAGCCAGTCAGAGTGACCAGGTTTTCATGATGCAGCAAGCTTAACATCAAAACTTCAATGATGAACTCCTGATTGCCTTGAAGGCTGTCCAAATTAAGCCTTTTAGCAGCAATTAACTGTATAAAAAGCAGAACAAAAAAAGTAAAGGGGCGATGAGTTAGTAAGAAAGCTGTTACTATATATATCAACACATCACATAATCACATTCCATAAAACTGGAGACGCCTTAAGCTAGATCTTTTTTATCATAGAAACTTTTCCTGCAGAAAGTCGCAAACAGAGAGACGCCTTAAGCTAGATTTTTAGCTTAGCTTGAGGCTTATATATCAGCAGTGAGCTAACACTTTCTTTCCTCTGCTTGAGGTTATGACTTCAAAGATATGTTCATCTAAAACTTTGATTTTCAGAATTTGTTCAGCTTATTATTTCCCTTTTCGGATCATAGGAAGGGGTATGTACAAAATAATGTACAATTATTGAAACAGTTTATTTTTATAAAACTTGTTCTTTTTATCATTGCACAATGAATTATATTTGAACTTATAATCTTCCATAAGAAAATCAACAATAAAAATAACACTAAACGTACGAAAAAGTTGGTTCTGCTAGGTATCAGTTCAGATTCTTCAGAATTTTGCACATATAGCTAAGACTTCATAGCTTTTCCTTATTCTTTTCCTGTCATTAACAACTTCAAAGGATCCAAATTGAAAAGAAATCATTTATAATGAAAAGATCGAAATAAGATAACTTCTTTCTCAGTTTCTAACAATTTCTTTGTAATTCAATATCAGCAGACAGCAGCTACATAAAGACTGGTGTAACATCAAATGATCACATCATAAAATTAAGCACATATAAGCCTATGAACAAAGGTTGAATTCGAAATGCTTGAACCTGGTGTAAGAAATTTTAATATGGAAAGGTAATTTACCTGTCCATTATCCAAACGACCCTTATAAACCTTCCCAAAGCCACCTTCTCCGATCAAATTAGACTCCCTAAAGTTCTTTGTCGCGACTGCAAGGTCTTGGAAACTGAAGCTCTGAGCTGCAGTGGCATCTATTGTATCAACCACATTCTGCTTATCACCTAAGGACCCTGTTTTTCTATCATGATCTGCATCAATTTTAAAGTAAGATAACACCAAAATTTAATTTGAATTTTCGAGTCATGACTAAGTTTTTATATAGGTCTCACCTGCATTTTCAAACTGTGAATTTTCCTTCCCATCTGCATCAAAATGCACTTGTTTAAAAACAACTCTAAAAATGTTTTCAAAATTATTTTCAATCTTACTACACATCCTAACATCTAATTTCACAAGGATTTAGGATATTCTACATTTTTACACTCACAAATTTCTGATGGAAAAAACCCTGAAATTTCATAAAATCTTACAAACAAATAAATACTTTTTTTTTTTTTCCTAAATTAGATAAAAAAAAAAAAAAAAAAAAAGAAATTTGCCCTACATAAACTTATCAGTCCCCGTTAAAAAAAAAAAAAAAAAAAAAAAAAAAAAACTTATCAGTTATCACTCATGTTATAACAATTTCTTTCCTAATTTAATGTTATATTAATTCTATGAACCTTTCACATGTGGGTTCAAGGATCACTGCCCACTCGCTTAGAGCCCAAGGAAAGTCGCCTCCCACCTCATCCATGTACATGACCCAGTCGCTTAGAGTCCAAGGAAAGTCACCCCCACCCCTTCCCAACTGAATTCAACCTAGTGACCCGAATTGACACCTCAACCTAGGAACCCCCACATTGGGACGACTAGGTACCGTGACCCACACACCCGGATTCGTGTATCATAACCAATTCCCCTAGAACCCCATACGTCTCCCAAGATAAAAGTGCATGTATTTTCTTGATAAAAACAAATTCTATTGTTTTCTTCTTCTTATTATTAAACAATTAAATTATAAATTAATAATTCGCAACTACAAGAAACATAAAATATATAAAAAAAAAAGAGAAGAAGAGAAACCTGGAGTGTAAGAATAAGAGGGAGAATCAGGATTAAAGAGCCTCTCATCTTCAAAAGGAAACCTCTTTTTGGGTATATTTATGCATGAAAAACAACTCATAATCATCAATTACAAGCCCAGAATTATTTGTTTAATTAATATCTAAATTAATTAATTATGAAGACGAAAATATTAATTTGTAAAGACGGAAATTTCCCCTTCAAGGGGAAGGGGAAGAAAAGAAAATTCAAATCCCCAGAATTCAAGAAGAAAAAAATTGATGTATTTTCTTTTGCTCCCAAAAAAAATCAAGAAGAATGAACACTATTTCTGGTATATTATTTTGAGAGGTAGACCATAAAATTTGGAATCAAAATAAGAAAATGAAAAATAAGGGTTTAAGAATATAAGAACAATTATATAAGATGTTTTTTTTTTTTAAAAAAAATTTAATTTAATTGAAACAAAGATTGTAGAGTTGGTAGATTTATTTAAATTAGGAAAACAATCATGATTATGATTATGAATATTGATTTGGAATCTACCAAATAATTTAAGGAAAGATTAATTATTTAATCAAAGATTACTACGTGGATAAAGAGTGTAATTTTTTTTTAAAATTTTTTTTTCCTAATTTTGAAGTCATATTTCTTTAATTCCTCTTTTTACTCGCCACATATATCTTTAGCAGTTTAGCTAGCTCATGAGTGAGGAAATTTGAGTTGTCTTAGCTCAATATTCAAATGTTTTCCCTATAGTCTCTCTTTTGAGTTGGACCAAAAACAAACGAATTTAGGTTCAAATTATTTCGAACCATTTATTAGAGGTAATAATGTGTTAGACTACGGACATACTAGCTTAATTATCCTTGTATATGCTTTCTTCGTTCTTTTATCGTTACACCATAGACTTTTGACATACTTTTTTCTAGTAGTGGGAAAAAAAAGAGGGGTAAAATATAAACTAAAGATTAAGTGTTAAATATATACTCCTAAAGTAAACATTATGGAGTATTAAAGTTATTTATTTGTTTCCTAAAATAAATATGGTGTTTTTTTTTAAAAAAAAAAACCTATATTTGGAAAATAACATATATTTTTTTTATAGAAAACTAAATTTTCATAAATATTACTACACCATTTATATTTTTGGAAACACCATATTTATTTTACGAAACAAATAACTCTCTTCACGCTGTAAATACCTAGTACTCCAATACGTAGGGTGTTTATAGCGTGAACAAAATTATTTGCTTCCTAAAATAAATATAGTGTTTCCCAAAAAAAAATATGGTGTAATATTTATGACAATTTAATTTTACAAAAAAAAATATGGTGCAATATTTATAAAATCTTTTTTTAAAAAAACTTGATGTAATAATTAAAAAACTAAAAAGTACGAGTTATATCATAATTAGGTTGCATAATCTTTCAAAAAAAAAAAATTAAGTTGCATAATTGTATAGTTGTATGTGTCTTATTTAAATTTAACGTCAGTATCTACAGCTAGGAGTTATGCCAAAATACTGATGAAGATTCCAATACGTGGGATCCAACAACAACCACTACTTACAAGTCAACGGTAAAAAATACAGTAATTACGAAGAATTAGTATCATAGATAAATTTACATAGCTTAAGTTTCCATAATTAAGGTAATATAAAATTACATTGTTTAAGTTTCCATAATTTTTTTTTTTCAAAAAAGGTAATATAATTTCATCCTTCCGGCTATTTGAAAAAACATAAATAAATATCCTAATTTACACATCCTCTATTTGATGCCTTGATATTTACCTCTTAACCGATACTCCATTGTTTTATTATAAATATTGTCAAAGAAATATCAATAGAGGGTAATAGCCTAATAGGATATATATAATATACATGTGAGAACCAAAGTGAATAATAGGAATTAGGAACTAGGAACTAATCTCAGCCATTGATCGCACTCCATCTAATGGCTCACATTGCACCCGCTCTCATTAATGACATTCTCGTAATTTCGCTGTTTTCAAACTTTTTTCCAGTTTTTTTTTTTTTTTTTTTTTTTTTTTTTTTTTTTTTTTAAGGCAATTTCATTTACTTTAAGACTGATTTCATTTACTTTTGAGAAATGAAACTGGAAACTACTTTATAAAGTTAAAATATTACAAAAATGCCATTAATGATACGGGAAGCATGTGAACCATCTGATTAACATGATCTAAGGGACTAGATTAGTTCCTAGTTCTTATTTTAGCCTTGGTTTTCATTATATATATATATATATATATATATATATATATATATATATATATATATATATATATATATATATTACTCGCAGCAAAGGGGTATTATTTGTGAGACATAAAATATTTCTTTGTTGCGAGTAATATGTAACGGAGGGAGTATAATAAATTATTAGGTTAAGTCCCGTGCCATGCACGGTCATAATTAAATTTTAGAACAAATAAATAATAAATAGTGGTGGTAATTCAACAATAATTTATCCAAAAAATTATTTGTAACAAAATAACTTGAATTTTAGTTTAAATCAATTAGGGGTGGCAATTCGGGTCAGCAGGTCGAGTTCGAGTCAGATTTCGGTTTGATGTCAGGTTATGCTTAGAAACTATAAAAAATAGTGTTAAACTTAATATAATTATGAAATATGAATTTTGGTCAAATTATGCTTAGAAACCATCAGTTTAAGGTTTTGGTTGAGGCCAAAAAAATATGTTTGATACTCTATCAAATAATTAGATTTAATTTTCCAATACATGTTATGTACTTTTGTAGGAAGCATACTGTAACAAAATGATTTTGTTACGTATAATTTTAAAATTTATACAAAGAATATATGCTACCAAAATGAATTTTCTTTTTTTAATTAAAATAAATTTTTTTATCACATGTTGGAGAATTTTTTTTACAAAGAATATATGATAAAAGTTGGAGAATTTTTTTTACAAAGAATATATGATAAAAGTTGGAGAGTTTTTTTTATATAAATATGTAAAATTAATTTTTTTTTTGCTCGTATCCATTGTCAATCATGCATAAATTTGATATTTAATGGTGAATTGAAACTATATATAGATAGTATTGTGGAGTATAAGAATAATATTGGAAATTTTAAAAGATTTTATACTACTTTTCACATTATTTCTGTTTTGTGAACGATATGGTTGATACGGTGTATATATTTACTATGTATACATAAATATTACTCCTATGATAAAAATATAATAAAATATAATAATTAAATAACGAAACAATTATATAATAAAATTAAAATATATAATATAATAATTAAGGAAATAATGAAATTGGCGGGAAAAAAATGAATGACATTATGCCAAGTGTCATTATAGGTTCGCTTTTAATATAGGTTAATAGATAAATAGATAGATAGATAGATATTTTTACTTTTTCAAAAAGGTAAATTTTATCATTGTAAATTTTATCAATGTCCCTAATTTTTTTTTTCCAAAACAAGTATTACGCTAACCTTACCTATTCTTATTTCTCTATACATCCTCTCCTCTCCAAAGCCAAAAGTAAACTGCTATTATACTTTAGCTTATCAATCAAATTTTTTCTAAGTAAAAATTCTCAAATTTTTTACCGATCTTTCCCAGCCTAATGACGACACTTAGGTGTCCAAGAATTCGTTGCTCCCACCAACAATTTCGTGATGCTGTCAAGATTGAATGCAAATTGAAACTCCTAGAGTTTGAAAGACTGGTTACTTATCAAGTCGACGACGTCGGACAACTCTCCGCGGTACCAATCACATCATACCGTCCCACCGGCAATGGCACCGTATTGGATCCCTTTAACCCCTTTTGTGCTCGTTGCCATTCTGATAATGTCAACTTAATTAAATCTTTGGGTCACACTGATGATGGGAGTAATAATTATTTGCAAGATATTAAAGATTATGTTGGTAATAAATTAAGTCTCTCAAAAGAATTTGATTATAATAAGGATTATCGGTATGTATGGGATATACCTGCCTATACTGATCGTGTTTGCGAAGATGATGAGGAATTAAGGGCGTGGGTGGAGTTAGAGTCGTTCGAGGATGAGGAGGTGAAGCCTACCCCGGCAAGCAAGGTGTCTATCGAGGCTTTAACAAGGTCGAGCATCAAGAATTGCGAGAGTACTAATTGTACTATATGTCTTGAACAACTTTATGATAACAAGAAAGAGGGAGTGTTAAAGGTCACAATGCCGTGTGAACATGAATTTCACGAGGGTTGTATTGTTGAGTGGCTTCACACTAGTCATTTTTGCCCTCTCTGCCGGTTTAAATTACCTACGCACGCAAGTTAGTTGTTGATGATGCAAAATTTTACAAAATTAAACATAACTTGTGTAAAAAAAATTACAAGATTGATCTCAAATATTATTATTATTACTTGTGTAAACAAGGGTTGTAGTTGTTGACGATGCCAAAAACAAAACACCTCTTGTGTTAATGTATTATTAGTCTTTCAAAAAAGTCTATAAATATTCTTTTTTAATAATTTTGTTGTTTTTAAGGGAAAAAATTAAATGTTTATCATGACTTTTCTCAAAGATTGAATGATAATTAAAATATGTCATTTATGTATATGAAATGACGAGATTGATCTCGCTCAAAAGCTTGTCATATGCTAGCGTTGTACTAAGATTTTTTTTTTAATTTGTTATTTTTAATTGTTTATTTGGTGGTAAAATAAAAGTTTTAGAAGTTTTTGTGGTAAAAAATAATTTTTTGTTTTTTTTTTTTTTTTTGTGGTAAAACTCAAAATTTCCTTTATTTAATTAACTATTTTCTTATTCACTTACATGTCTTGTATTATAAATACTTCGATGTTTGACAATTTATTCTTCAGGGTATATATTTTGTATTAATTTCCACGCAACTCTTGATTTTGGTCTATCCTTTACAAAATTTGATCTTAACTCGAGGATTTCCGGATTGTAACTATATAAATAGGCAAACATTTGTCAATTTTTTTTGCACAATTATTTAATAAAGGCCGGGGCACGATTAATTACTGTATGGCGGGCTTTGTTTGGAAATAAAAGTATCCAAAAATTCACTCCACATGTGCCGGCCAAACTTTCCTCTTTTTTTTTTTTTTTATTTTTTTTATTACTCCACCGTTTCTCTTTCCTCTTTATTTCTCACCCAACTTTCTCTCTCTTCTGCTCTCAATTTCTCTCTCTTATTGGCTCAAATTTTCACCATTACAAATTCGATTTTTCAATTTTCTAGGCTTTATTATACATTTTTTTTCTGCATTTTTCTTTTGATTATTGAAGTTTGTTGAAATTCGTATCAATGAAGAATATTAGTACAAAACTACAAATCCACCACATGCAAATATGTTTTCTGAATTGTTTTACGGTATATCAGTATAATTTATGTGATTTTGCTATTGTTGAACTTTAATTTCATTTTTTAATTGTGTTTCTTTCATCGTTTTTCAATACATTTTTACTTGTAATTTAAATTGTGGAAGGAAGAACACTAGTAATCTAGTTTCAAATAAATGATGGAGATCAATTGTGTATAAAGTTTTTAAAATTTTGTGTATTATAATTTAGCTTCAAACAAATGGAGATCTAAGTTTAATTTTGAGAAATGTTGATGTATAGTAAAATATGGGTCACTTTTGTGAAAATATGAGTTACCTTTAAAAAAACAAAAAACTAATGAGATTAAGAAAATTTTATGTGAAAATATGGGTCAATTTTGTGAAAAAAAGGGTCACTTTTGAAAAAAAAAAGGTTACTTTTGTGAAAATATGGGCCACTTTTATAAAAAAAATGGTCATTTTTGTGAAAATAAGGGTCACTTTTGTGAAAAAAGGGTTACTTTTGTAAAATAAAAGGGTCACTTTTGTGAAAATATTATTGTTCAAACGCGCAAAATGTTCGATGTACAATAAAATTATTGTAAACCGGGAGCATGCAAATTTTTTTTTTTTCGTATATAAATCATGTGTTTGTTTTTATTTTTATTAATGCTTATATACTACCTCCGTTAATTATTATGTCAAACTTTGGATATTATTTATGATATATAGAATAATTACAAGTTGTACATACTTAACAAAGGTAGTAAATATTCCCTCAAAAAAAATAAAGGTAGTAAATACTTAGTACTCTGTATAATTAATTTGCACAAACTAGCCAACTAGCTAATCTATGATATTATTAAACTTAAAGGGACAACCTGAAATCGCCATGTCACATTTCCCTCAAAATGACTAGGCGTCATATGTGTATTATGTGTCATCCTACTTGTCCCATCTTTTCCTCAATATGAAATGGTCTCATAGCTTTATTCCATTTAAAATTAGTGCCTAAGTTAATTTGGAAAATTTGCCAATTACAACCATTTAAAGTTTGTGTTTTGCAAATTGCAACCCAAAAGTTCTTATAAATTGCAACCCAATTCAACTTTTCATCAGTTTGCGGGGCAAACAATATTCGGTTAAGGTTTTAGGAGCTATAATTAGATCGTAAGGAACCGAATTGAGCCCAGAATTAGCAAAAAAGTAACGTAAGTGACTCGTTTTGCATACACTACAAGAAAAAGGTGAATTAGCAACGGAATTTTGCGACTACCATAATAATTAGTTGCAAAAATAATTTTAGCGACTGAAAAAGACGAGTAGTCGCAAATTTTGCAACCGAATTTGCAGTAGTTGCTATGCGGTCGTTAATTAGCGACTGATTTTTGCGACTACTATAATAATCAGTTGCAAAAAATATTTTTGCGACAGAAAAAGACGAGTAGTCACAAAATTTGCAACCGAATTTAAAATAGTTGCTATGCGGTCGCTAATCCGCGACGCTCTTGTAATAATTTGCAACTAACACGGTAGTCGCTACTATTATTTTTAATATTTATTAAAAAGAAATAAAAAAAACCCTTAGTATAATAAAAAAATAAAAAAAAAACCCTTATTCCTAAAAAAACGAAAAAAAGGTTATTGCCGCCAAAAAAACAAGAATTATCAATCAGTCTTATACTCTTATTCACCGTCAAAAACAAGAACTATCATACTCTTCCTAAAAAAAATAAATAAAAAAAATCCTTAATCATTTAACTCGTGAAACAAAACAAAAAAAAGAAAAAAAAAAAGAATTAATCACTCGATACTCGCAGAAGGGTTAATTTTAGAGAATCAACCCTCAGCCCCTCACCGTCGTTCTTCATCTTCCTTAGCTCCGCTGCGCCACCACGTCTCTTCCCAAGTAAGTTTAAATGCCTTCCACCCTTTCGCTTATTGTAATTTGCCGACTATGAATTTTAGGTTTATCATTGATTTTTTTTTGGTCCAATTATTGATTTTAATTTGGTTTCCATGGTCTAATTGAAGTAAATTAATTAAAAATCAATCAAAATTGATTGAGTATGCAAAAATCCCTAATGGTTTTCAATGTAAAAATCCCATTTCTATTTATTTCGACCCCTTTTTTAAACTATTATTTGTAAAATATATACAAGTATCACTAGTAGAAAAAATGTTATTTGTAACGCCCTATTAGTAACTGGCGTATGTTATGCTAGTTACGAAAGCATCAATAGTAACTTACTAAGATAATGTCAGTTACAAATTTCATGACATTAGTAACTAGCGTAGTAAATGTCAGTTACTAATATGTGGTTTATCATTGTTTGAAGTTTTATGAGTAACTAACTAAATAAATGTTAGTTACAAATATTTAGTCAAATAAACTTTGACTAAAAAGTTTGTAACTAGCTTACAAACGCCAGTTACAAATATTAAGTCAAAGAAACTTTGACCAAAGCGTTTGCAACTAGCTTACAAACGTTAGTTACAAAAAACTCTTTGTTCAGAGACGCGTGAACATACCCAAAAAATCTCTATTGTTTAGAGACGAGTGAACATCACAACAGCAAGATGACGTTCCCTACCTTGTGGAAAGTTGTCACAACCGCAAATGCAACACAAATCGGTTACCTCTAGAGTTTTTTTTTTAGATATTAGTATTACTTTAACCTGAAATTAATCTATTCATAAAGAGAAATATATCCCACGCTTCTTTCAATATATATATATTTATTTATTTATTTTTTTTCCTTTTTACATCATTTATTCTGAAAGAACCGTCAATCTTTGCACCGCCGAAACCACCACCGCGCCCACTGACGTACGCCCGTATTCATCGGCACACCAGCACACCACCGCACCAACCGGAGCACCACTGCACTACTGTACCGTTGCGCCACCACTGACTAACTAGGTGAGTTTCGAATTATTCCTTTTTTCTAGGAATTTGATATCGAGTTTGTTAATATAATTGCAGTATATATTTATTATTCGAATTAAACAAAAAATTTTAGTTATAATTCAATCATATATTCATCGAATTTCAGTATTTTGATTCGAAATTTAGGTAGATTAAAAGAAACTTCAAAGTTATAATTTTAGGGCAAATTATTCAATCGATTTTTTTAGGCTATTAATTCTATCGAATTTCAGCAATTCAATCAAATTACACTTGATTTATTTGAATTACATTTATTTCATTGTCAATCAAAATGAATTTCACCAAATTAATCTTATTGTGTTATTGGATGTTTTTGGTATAAGCCTGGAGGCTGCTAATGTATTGAGTATCATTGGTGTCTCTAAGTATTGAAATATGACTGTATTTTAATTACATGTCTTCTTTCTCGTTTCGCAAAAATTTGCCATATTCCTCATTATCTGATGGTTGTTGTTGTGTCATATAAAGTTATATTTTTTTCTCGTAGTAGTGTTAAATTGATAATATGATGTAGAATTTAAGGCATGAATTGAATAAGTAGTCACTTGATTCTAAATTGACTCCCTGACTTAATTACTTGCCTTATTGAGTATTCTTTTATGTTCAGGGTATTCTTTTAATTGTTTTTAGTAAGTACTAATGAAATAAATAGGCAAATAATTTATAAGCCCTTTTGAAAAATTATCCATCTTGTAACATGAAATAAAATCTGCTTTGATACATATTATAGATAGAATCGTTGAATAATATAAAGTTTATAAACCTTTGCCACGTGAAGTCAAAGCTCTATGAGGGTTTAAAACAGCGCATAGGGATTTAAATATTAAAGAGAAGGATTCATGAGATGATACAGTATAAACCTTCAAAAGTTTTAACCTTGTAAATTACCATGAAATTCAAATCTTATTCGGAAATGCTTTAAGAGTCGTAAAATCTGAGTTGACAGTAGTTGAAATCTCCCATAAAACTATAGAAGCACAAATACAAAATGTTAATGATTAAAGGTTTTGATGATGAGGAACTTAAGTTACAGCAAACTCTTCTCATAAAGGCTTTTCAAGTGTTTGTTTAGTTTAGGTGAAATTGATCTTGGAGATGGAAGAAGTAGTTGAAACTAAGAAGACTTGAAGGAGTTCTTTATCAAGAAAGTTATTCAAAATAGAAGTAGAGTTCCCTCACAGGAACTGAGTTCCCTAACAGGAACGTTCCTTCACAGGAACTTGAAGATGGCTGGCTAAGATCTTTGGAGGAACTTAGTAAGCGTGGAGCCCAAGTAAACCTACCAGAACAAGAGCGCAGCACATCAATGTTTTAGTTAAGATTTTATCTTCTAGATTCATTGTTAAATATGTTAAGTAGGATATGCATGAAATTTATTAGAAGCGTGACAAGTTAGCTTGGCAAATAAATTAAAATCGGAAAAGATAAAAGATAAAAGATAGAAATCAAAAAAGATTTTCTTTAAATGTTTATTTCTTAAAATCAGTTTGTTAAAAAGATATTATGCTTTTTAACTTAATATTTCTATCTAATTTTTCTGAAAAGATTTTCTTCAAAGGATTTACTTAAAAATCGTGTTTTAAGATAAGTTAAGTTTTACTTATTTATCTTTATGAAAACCTACTTTCTATACAAGTAATACTTGTATAAATAGTAGAGAATAATAGGAGTTTAGTTTTTTTTGTGAGTTTATGCGTGAAGAATTACAGAGCTTTAATTGTATAAGTTTGCCAAGCTTATAATCTTGTCATATTAGTTTCGGGTTTCATGCATAGCTTGCCTATCATATACTAGGTGTTAATACTTGTATTTGGTTTGGGATTATTTGGGTGAGATTATTTTTATTATCATTGCACACAGAGTGAGCTTCTGGTGAGAAAGGGAAAGATCTGTACTTAGGGAGTACGAGAGAGTCTGAGTGTGGGACTTAGACTGGGTAGAATAGTGTCATGTTCTGTAGCAAGTTCAGTTAAGAACTTGTGAGTAGAGACTTAATTATAATAGGTTGTAACTTGGTGTTTGCCCTATTATAGTGGAAGTGTTTGTGTTTGAAATCCCTAAGGTAGGGTCGAGGTTTTACTTCTAGTTGGGCACTAGAAGGTTTCCTCGTAAAACACTGTGTGCTTTACAAGTTCCTATTTTATTCTGTTTTATATTTGCAAAAGTAGTCATTAGGAACTCATCTATAATTCACCCCCCCTCTTGTAGAGTTCATCTCAACTAACAATTGGTATCAGAGCACTGTTCTCACGTGCAAGAAGACAACTTTGCTGAGTAAGTTCCTGGAGAGATGAATTTCAAGGAGAAACATGAAGAAGGGTACTTTACCCAACGTCCACCTATGTTCAATGGTAAGTTTTATGCCTACTGGAAGAACAGGATGGAGATATTCATCAAGGCTGAAAATTACCAGGTTTGGCGTGTAATTGAAACTGGTGATTTTGAAATAACTCAAACCAATGACAAACATGAGGTAGTTTCTAAACCCATTTCTGATTATGATAAAGAAGATTATCAGAAACTTGAAATGAATTATTTAGCTATAAAGTATATGCACTATGGACTTGGACCCCATGAACATAATCGTATCATGGGATGCAAGTCTTCCAAACAGATTTGGGATTTGCTACAGGTAACTCATGAAGGTACTAACGAGGTAAAACGTTCTAAGATAGATTTATTGATGTCTAGGTATGAAAGGTTTGAAATGCAATCTAAAGAAACCATAGAAGAGATGTTTACTAGATTCAATGATACTATTAATGAACTGAACTCCCTTGGCAGACATATTCCTATAACAGGCAAGGAAGATCTTAAGAAGCCTACCACAGGATGAACGCTGGAGATCCAAGGTTACTGCTATGCAGGAAGCTAAGGACTTCACCAAGTTTAATATGGAACAACTAGCTGGATCATTGATGACTCATGAACTTCACCTGAGTTCCAATACTGAAAGTTTCAGAAGTAAAAGTCTTGCACTCAAGGCTCAAAACTCAGAAGAATCAGAAGTTGATGAGGAAGAGATGGCTATGCTAGTTAGGAGGTTTAAGAAGATGATGAACAATAGGAAGTTTGACAGGAACAAGAAGTACACAAGTTCCAGAAACACAACGTGTTTCAAGTGTGGATCAAAGGATCATTTTATCAAAGATCGTCCTGTTCAGGATGGAGAGAAAGGAAAGACTAAAGGCAAGGAGCAATCCAAAGATTCAAGAGTCTATAAGCCTTACTTCACCAAGGACAACGTTAAGAAAGCCATGCTGGCTGCTTGGGGAGATACAGATTCAGAAGAAGAAGAGGAGGACCAACCATCAGAAGAAACCGCTCATTTATGTCTAATGGCAAAAACTGATGAAGCTGCCAAACTAAAGGAGCTTGAGTCTGAGCTATGGTTCTCTTACAATCAATTAAAACATCTGTCTAAAGAGAATCTAATAAATACTGTTTTAGAAATTCAAGAAGATTTAAAGGAATTACATAGATCCAAACAGATAAGTGATAAAGCTTTAGTAACTTACAAAGAAAACAGTGAATGGGTCGATAACATGAAGTTTGATATTCAATACAGGTTCTTCAGTCTGTTTGATGATAATAAAATTTTAAAAGAAACTTTAGAGAACTTAAAACAAAATAACATACTCTTGAATGTGGAATTATAATTGCTAGTGGAAAGATAGGAAGGTCACGTTCCCATGCCATTGATAATGTATTTTTACTCGAGGGCCTCAAACACAATTTGTTGAGTATTTCACAGTTCTGTGACAAAGGTAATTATGTCAGCTTTACTTCAAATAAGTGTAGAATCATCCACAATGACACTGGGAACATTATTTTAGAGGGAACTCGGAAAGGGAACACATATGTTGTGGATCTTAATGAGGTTCCTAAGAGTAGTTTAACATGTCTTAGTGTTATTGAGGATGATCCTCTTTTATGGCACAGAAGATTTGGCCATGCAAGCTTTTCTTTACTTGATAAACTAAGATCTAAGAACTTAGTGGAAGGACTCCCTTGCATTAAGTTCTTGTATGACAAAGTGTGTGAAGCTTGTGCTAAAGGTAAACAGACCCGAATTTCTTTCAAGTCCAAAAAGATGGTAAGTACCAAAAGGCCTTTGGAACTCATTCATATGGATTTCTGTGGTCCAATGAGAATCCAAAGTAGAAGTGGTAAGAAATATGTAATGGTTATTGTCGATGATTTTTTAAGGTTCACTTGGGTTTTATTTCTTGTAAGCAAGGATGAAACGTTTGATGAGTTTGTTGCTTTTGTAAAGAAAGAACAGAGAAGAACAGGGAATCATTTGATAGATCTTAGATCAGACCATGGAACAGAATTTGAGAATTCTAAATTTGATGAATTATGTACTGAGTATGGCATGGATCACAATTTCTCTGCCCCAAGAACTCCACAACAAAATGGAGTGGTGGAACGCAAGAATAGGAGTCTTGAAGACATGGCAAGGACAATGTTGATATCAAGCAGGCTGCCTAGGAACTTCTGGGCTGAGGCAGTGAACACAGCATGTTATATACTCAACAGAGTATCTGTTAGGGCCATCACTAACAAAACTCCATATGAACTTATGAAAGGGAAAAAACCTAATATTTCTTACTTTAGATCTTTTGGTTGCAAATGTTTTGTTCACAATAATGGTAAAAGAAACTTGGGAAAGTTTGATGAACGTAGTGATGAGGCAGTATTCCTAAGATATGCCTCAAATAGCAAAGCTTACAGAGTGTATAATAAAAGAACAATGTGTGTTGAGGAGTCTGTACATATTATATTTGATGAGACTGAAAATTTGGTTGATGTACAGGATTGTGATGATGATTTCGAGATTGGACTTGTGCGTACGCAGAATCCAGATGAGGAACCAGCATCACTGCAGAAGCAGCAAGTTGAAATTGCAGAAGTAACAAATCCTGAAGCAAATGCTGAACCAGAGTTGGAGAATGCACCAGGAACTCCACTTCGAGAACAGATTGAAAATCATAATGAAGGCCAAAATATGGAAACTCCTTAAGAAGTTTAACCTGAGAACCAGAATCAAGTTCCTACAGAAGAACCAGTCAACAATAATGTAGAGAGGTTGTATCCAATCAAAGATTTCACTCCAAGGCCCTGGAAACATCAAAAATCTCATCCAGTTGATGCAATCATGAATGATATCACAAAAGGAACTCAAACAAGATCTCAGCTTAGGAACTTCTGTGCATTCAATGCTTTCCTTTCTTCCATGGAACCTAAAAATTATGTTGAGGCTTTAACTGACGCTGACTGGATTAATGCTATGCAAGCTGAACTAAATGAATTTGAAAGAAATAAAGTTTGGCATCTGGAACATAGACCAAAAGACAAGAAGTCCATTGGACTAAAATGGGTATTCAGAAACAAACTAGATGAACATGGTATTATTGTCAGGAACAAAGCAAGACTAGTTGTACAAGGTTTCAACCAGCAAGAAGGAATAGACTATGAAGAAACATTTGCACCTGTAGCCAGGTTAGAGGCTATTCGTTTACTTATTGCTTTTGCTGCTTATATGGGATTTAGGCTGTACTAGATGGATGTCAAATGTGCATTCTTAAATGGATACTTAAATGAGGAAGTCTATGTGGAACAGACTCCTGGATTTGAAAATCCAGAGTTCCCAAACCATGTCTATAAGCTTGACAAGGCTCTTGATGGGTTAAAGCAAGCTCCTAGAGCATGGTATGAAAGATTATCTAAGTTCCTTTTGGCTAATGGTTTTAAACGTGGTAAAATTGATAAAACATTGTTTTTAAAGTCAAATGGAACTGATATCTTAGTTGTACAAATTTATGTTGATGATATTTTATTTGGTGCAACTAACAAATCTTTATGCAAGTATTTTGCTGACCTTATGAGTGGAGAATTTGAAATGAGCATGACTGGAGAATTAAATTTCTTTCTTGGTTTGCAAATTAAGCAAACTGAAGAGGGAATTATGATTCATCAGCAAAAATATATTAAGGAACTGATCAAGAAATACAAGTTGGAAAATGCCAAAACCAACAATACTCCTATGGGAATTGCTACTAGATTGGATGAAGATCCATCTGGAACTTGCATTGATCAATCTATGTATCGAGGTATGATAGGCTCACTACTTTACTTAACAGCTAGTAGACCTGACATATCTTTTAGTGTAGGTCTGTGTGCCAGGTTCCAAGCAAATCCAAAGGAGTCTCACCTGACAGCAGTAAAAAGAATCCTTAGATACTTGAAAGGAACTGATGATTTGAGTCTCTTCTATCCTAGAAGTGATTCTTTTAATTTAAATAGTTTTACTGATGCTGACTATGCAGGTGATTTAGTAAATAGAAAAAGTACTTCAGGTATGGTACAATTTTTAGGACCTTGTTTAGTTTCTTGGGGTTCCAAGAAGCAAAACACAGTTGCTTTGTCTACAGCAGAAGATGAATATGTAGCTGCAGCAGCATGTTGTTCACAAGCTCTATGGATAAAACAACAAGTCAGAGATTTTGGTATTATTTTTAAATGTGTACCTATTTACTGTGATAATACAAGTGCTATATGTATTTCTAAAGATCTAGTTCAACACTCAAAGGTGAAACATATCCACATTAGGCATCACTTTCTAAAAGATAATGTGGAGCAAGGGAATATTAAGTTAGAATTTTGTCAAACTGAAAATCAAATTGCAGATATTCTAACCAAGCCCTTGAACAGAGAAAGATTTGAGAAATTGAGACTGGAACTTGGGATGATCAAGCTGAAGTACTAGCCTCTGAAGTTCCAAGATATGGCAAAGTCAAAAATATTGTAAATAGAGCAAAAAGAACTTCTACCACAGACTTGGTGTGATAAACATAACTAAAGTGTCACCGTTGTTAACTACCAAAGGTAAGTTCATTAAATTGCTCAACGGTATAAGTTATTAAATTTGTATATTGCACATATTTAGAAAGCGTGTTCCAATTGTGTTTTATAGAAACTTCATTCAAGATTAATTGAATTTGGAAATTTAAAGTTTTTGAAAGATTCATCCAGTATTTTAAAATTTGAAAAAAAAAATTAATTGAATTTGTTCAATTAATGACTGAACAGTGAAAACTTCCTAAATTCCCTCACACCGCTTCATTTATTATAAAAGCAAATTGTCACCCACTTCTTTCACCTCACTGTCACATCAATTTAATCCCTTTCCAGTAAAATTTTTAAGACCTTTTAAAACCCTTCCTAAAGCATCAATGGTGATCATTGCTGAATTTATCTCCTCAGAAGAATCTCAACACTCTGAAAACACAATCCAAGAAGAAACATATCCCTTAGCCATGGTAAACTAAAAATCTTCCTCCACCTCAAATTAAATTTCCGAAAACCCTAGACAATCTCCTCCAAAACCAAAAGAAGCAGAGAGTAAAATCGATCAAGGGGATTCCTCTGTCTCAAACGTTCTCCAAAGACTAAAAGAATGGAAGGAAAGAAAACAAATTGTAAAGTCTCTTGAAGAGCAAATTGAGGAAGTTGACGAATTTGATCAAGGGAAAAACCCAGAAGAGACAACAGAGGAGAACAAAGAAGAAGAAGAGATGAGCGAGGAAGTAGAAGAAGATAAAGATGAGGAAAATGATTCAGAAAAGGAAGAGTCTGAAAAGGAAGAGGAAGAAGAGGAAGTGACTGATCAAGCGGAACTTGAGTCACAGGCTGGAAGGTATGTAGTTGGTCATCGCATTGATGTTGTCTGGTGTAGGAAAGCAAGATTTCTAGAATTTCTTGATTTAATTAAGTTTCAAGGTTGGGAATTTTTGTTGTCAAGAGTCTCAGCAAACTATATGTCCCCTGTAGCTATGACTAAATTTTGCCAAAATTTTCAAGCAAAATTAGGTACAATTTCAAGTATGGTCAATGGGGTTAAAATTGAATTGAACATTGAAACCCTAGGTAAAATTTTGAAAACTCCTACTGAAGGGTATGACACCTATGTTAAGGGAAAGGGAAATGTCAATGTAGGTAGCTATTTGACTGGTGATATTGTTGAAGCCCTAGGTGGCCAGAGAGGGAAGAAGGTCATGAGTCATAATGATCTTAGTCCCTTAAACAAGCTACTGTTCAATTTGGTAAAGAAGACAATTCTGCTCAGAACTGCTAAAAAGGGGGAAGCATGCCTGTTGGATATGGCAGTGATTTTCTGTATTTATAAGAAAATTAAGGTCAATTTTCCTTCTTTAATGTACCAGCACTTAGCACACTGTAGGGTATGGTGCCATTTTGTCCATTATATTTGAAAATGTTGGAGTAGTTCTGAAGGGTAAATATGGAGCCTTGAATGAAAAGCCAGAAAATGTGATTAATGAAGAAACCTTGGCTGGGTTAAGTTTGGAAGTGATACAAGGAAAAATTCAAAGATTGGAGAAGGGAGAGAAAAAGAAAGAGAAAGTGACAGGGAAGAGGAAGGAAAAGGCTTTGTCTGAACAGCCTGTGAGGAAGAGCAGGAGGATTTCTGCCAGTGGTGTTCCTCAAACTAGTATGGAACAGCCACTGGAGTTGGATGTTGAGGAATATATCCTCAGTGGGCAAGTTGCTGAACTACGTGACAAAATAGAAAGGGTTGAGGGTCGAATGAAGGACTCGGCTGGAAAGCTGTAGGTGCTGACTTTGGAAAAGTTGGTACAGGAGCAAGGGAAGGAGTTGAAGGAACTCAAGAGGTTGATGCTAAAACAGACCAAGGACCTTCAAGAACAGAAGGAGTTTCATGAGCAAGAACTTAACAAGGCTCTACAGGAATAGAAGGAGGAGTTCCTGGTGAAACTCAAGGGTATTGAAGAAAGGTTGGAGGCCTCTGCACATCAGACAAAGGAGGACTTCAAGAAGATTATGGAGTTCCTTGAAACCTAGCCTGCCCTATTTCATATTCAACCTAGCCTATTTTCACTGTCTTAGTTATGAACAATTTTAACTTATGTTTTTAATTTTTGAACAATTAATTTTGGTTGTAAATTTTTAAATTGTTCACCTGGATGATAAATATTTTGGTTTTTGAATGAAAAGTTGGAACTCTGCCTATACTTGTGTGTTAATGTGTATTTTGAACACTTATGCTGAAAAGTAGATCTTACTTGAGGTTGTTTAGCAGCGCTACCTTTAGTTTCCCACACTCGATGAATTGCTTGTGGGGCTGTAAGTAGATGTTTAATAAACTTGAAAAAGCAGGACTTTTTGATAATGCCAAAAGGGGGAAATGAAGAAGCAAACATGGAGGCTGAAGTTGTTTTGGGTTCCAGTTGAGAAAGTATCATAACTTTCTTCTGATATGATGCTAATAGTTTAGTTTACTTTCTGTCTCAGTTATTTTTGTTTTTTTTTTTGCTATTGGTTTTTGTTTTATTCAGTTGTGTGTTTATTTTATGTTAATAATTTAAAAATACAAAAATACGACCTTTTATTTTGTTTTAACTTTCTCAAGAGTTTGCTTAAGTTTGTCATCATCAAAAAGGGGGAAACTGTTAATGATTAAAGGTTTTGATGATGAGGAACTTAAGTTACAGCAAACACTTCTCATAAAGGCTTTTCAAGTGTTTGTTTAGTTTAGGTGAAATTGATCTTGGAGATGGAAGAAGTAGCTGAAGCTAAGAAGACTTGAAGGAGTTCTTTATCAAGAAAGTTATTCAAAATAGAAGTAGAGTTCCCTCACAGGAACTGAGTTCCCTAACAGGAACGTTCCTTCACAGGAACTTGAAGATGGCTGGCTAAGATTTTTGGAGGAACTTAGTAAGCGTGGAGCCCAAGTAAACCTACCAGAACAAGAGCGCAGCACATCAATGTTTTAGTTAAGATTTTATCTTCTAGATTCATTGTTAAATATGTTAAGTAGGATATGCATGAAATTTATTAGAAGCGTGACAAGTTAGCTTGGAAAATAAATTAAAATCGGAAAAGATAAAAGATAGAAATCGAAAAAGATTTTCTTTAAATGTTTATTTCTTAAAATCAGTTTGTTAAAAAGATATTATACTTTTTAACTTAATATTTCTATCTTATTTTTCTGAAAAGATTTTCTTCAAAGGATTTACTTAAAAACCGTGTTTTAAGATAAGTTAAGTTTTACTTATTTATCTTTATGAAAACCTACTTTCTATACAAGTAATACTTGTATAAATAGTAGAGAATAATAGGAGTTTAGTTTTTTTGTGAGTTTATGCGTGAAGAATTACAGAGCTTTAATTGTGTAAGTTTGCCAAGCTTATAATCTTGTCATATTAGTTTCGGGTTTCATGCATAGCTTGCCTATCATATACTAGGTGTTAATACTTGTATTTGGTTTGGGATTATTTGGGTGAGATTATTTTTATTATCATTGCACACAGAGAGAGCTTCTGGTGAGAAAGGGAAAGATCTGTACTTAGGGAGTACGAGAGAGTCTGAGTGTGGGACTTAGACTGGGTAGAACAGTGTCATGTTCTGTAGCAAGTTCAGTTAGGAACTTGTGAGTAGAGACTTAATTATAATAGGTTGTAACTTGGTGTTTGCCCTATTATAGTGGAAGTGTTTGTGTTTGAAATCCCTAAGGTAGGGTCGAGGTTTTACTTCTAGTTGGGCACTAGAAGGTTTCCTCGTAAAATACTGTGTGCTTTACAAGTTCCTATTTTATTCTGTTTTATATTTGCAAAAGTAGTCATTAGGAACTCATCTACAATTCACCTCCCCCTCTTGTAGAGCTCATCTCAACTAACACAAAACCTCACTATGCACTCAACCAAAGGAAGATGTAATTACAACACAATGCAGTCAACAAAAAGATGAATATTGAACCAAGTTTTCAAAATGGCTCTCCATAAGCAAGTTAGTTTCATGACAGACACTGTTCGAGCTGAATTCATAAATAAGCGTAAGCATCCTGATTTTGTGAAACGTTCTAACCAAGCAAGAGATAATCGGTTATCTGGCCAAACATTAGAGGAGAAGTTTGACCCTGGCCATCGCCAAGGTAGCGTATCTACTCCTCAAGTGGTTAAAAAATGGTAAGTGTATGATTTTAGCAGCAAACTTATGATTTTTAATATAAGATTGAAGCAAGTAGAAACTTTTTAGCCACTAATATAGATGACTATAACTGGTCTTTATTACAATTGCTATGTAGTCTATGTCCTCCTATTTTTTGTTGTTTTATTTAAGTGCTAACGACTTCTTCTAATACAAGGCAAAGAAAAAGGATAAAATTTTACCAACTGCTGCTGAAGTCTATGAGAGCACTCATTCTGTTTGTGTGGGCAATGATGAAGTTGAACTGATGGGTGACAAGTCTCAAAAAGTCATGGTATGAGTATACTTCTATATTTTTCTAAGATTACAAAAAGATATATGGTAGTTAATGTTTGGAGATATAATGGATTGTTTATTTGTTTGTGTGATTGAGTTGGAGGATGAGAATGATTTGCCGGCATTAATCATATGATTAATGTGGTATGGCATAATGTGAATTGAAACAAGTTTATTTTGAAGCCATACCCTATAGGAAGGAATTCTTCAATTTACAAAGGAGACTCTGTCGAAATTTTTACTAATAACTACTTACATAAATTATTTTACTAATAACTGCTTGGACCCTCACTGCCATCAATACCATTTGCTTAGACCATCACCTAAATTTTCACTTTGTAACCAAACTCAGATGGTACCTAAATAAATCAGATGGTATCTAAAGGCAAGTTTTTACTGCTATGTACTGATCTGATGTCCAAAATGAAAGACTATAAGATAACAATTAAATTAAATTGTGTTTTAGAAGTCCAAACAAGTTTTTATCCCGGACGATGTCCCGAGTCATTGCTTGTATTTTTATTATAGTTGTTTTTTTTTAAATGTATTTAGTTTATTTAAGTTTTAACATTTGAGATCATAGTTACTAATACATATCTTAATGCAGGGAGAATATATGGAAAAACTTGAGGAATATAAGAACAAAGGAATTGAGATAAACCCCGACAAAGTCTACTTGGAGGTTGTAGGTGGGCAAAAGAAAGGAAAATTCTACGGTTTAGGGAGTGCTTCACATATGTATTACAAGAGTGATCCTACTTCTCAATCTACTGCATCATCTTCCACTCCTTCCATGATTTCTCAATTAAGTTCTCAAGTTGAAGAACTAAAGAAGATGGCGGAAGAAAACCATAACAAGGTAGAAGAAAGCCAAAAAATAGCGGCAGAGAGCTTAAAATGTGCTAAGGAATTCGTCGAAAATCATGAGATCGAAAAAGCTACATGGAAGAAGGAAAAATTAGCTATGCAAAAAACATTGCAGGAAATGGCATCACTTGTAAAACAAGTTTACCGTCCTTATAAGCCTCCTATGCCTGTAGTCACCCGCTCTCATGATACAACTAAGTGATTTTTATTTTCTTGGTGGTAATTTTATGAACAACTGGTCTTTTACATTCTCATTAAATCTTGTTTGAAGTAGCTTTTTTTTATATGAGAGGTGACTTTTGGAACAATTAGTCATATGAGTTAAATATTGTTTTTTAATACATTGATACAAAATTGATTGATATTTTGGATATTTGAATAAAATTAACATTTTGGTTATTTGAATTTATGCGTGGGTACCTTTTTTGTTTTGTGATTAACATTGGTCGTCGCTTAATTATGGTCTCAAATATTGATAGTTAGTCGCAAATATTTAGCGACTGCAAATTTGGTTTAGAGACTAATTGGTTAGTTGCAAAATCATTAGTCTCAGTAGTCGCTAATCTGTCACAAATAATTAGTTTTTTAGTCGCAAAAATTTGGTCTCGTATGTAGTTGCTAATCCGTCGCAAAAAACATTAGTCTCAGTAGTCACAAATCCGTCACAATAAAACTAGTCTTCGTAGTCGCAAAAGTTTAGTCTCGTAGTCGCAAAAATTTGGTCTTGCAGTCGCTAATTCGTCGCAAAAGTAGTCTTAAAACATTGATCTCTGTAGTTGCTAATCCGTCGCAAATATATTACGACGGAAAATAATTTAGTTGCTAAAATTTGAAAGTTAGTCTCTAAATGGTAGTTGCAAAGGCGTTGCAAATCTGTCGCTAAATTTGCGACTGTTCAAAAATTAGTCGCAAAAATGGATTTGCGACGAGGTGTTTGGCAACGAACCAAAGTGGTTGCAAATCCGTCGCAAATCCATTTTTGCAACGGATTTGCGACTACTTTGGCCGTCGCTAATTACCCTTTTTCTTGTAGTGATAACAAAAATGTATTGACTTTTAAGCAACTATTTTTTGCTTTAAAAACGAGGCACTTACGGTTTTTTTTTTTTTTTGCCAATTTTGAGCTCAATTTAGACACTAAAATCTTAACCGAACATTTTTCTACACGCAAACCGATGAAAAAATTGAATTAGGTTGCAATTTATAATTTATAACAACTTTTGAGCTGCAATTTGTAATTTTTTTTAAATGGCTGCAATTTACAAAATACTAACTTTAAATGATTGCAATTTGCAAATTTTGCTTTTAATTTATGTGTCGAGTATTTTTCAATTGGTGCTAATTACTTTTTGCCTACTCATGTGATATTAGATTTGTTGAAGGTCAAATTGCATATTAGAGGTTATTTTCTCTTCTGATAAGTAAGTCATTTTTAGAACGTTATTTTTTTTTAAATTTTGTCCAATAATGTTTGAATTAGATTGCATGAATGAATTTATGTGATAATTTTACTAGATAGGAACCTCATTTGTTGTAAATTGGATCCAACTAATAAATTTATGATGATTGGGGACATCGCCTGGGCCAATAACTAGTTGTAGTAAAATAATGTGAAAAGATAAAACAAATTTCAATCTAATCAATATTGCGTAAATTTAAGAAAACAAGACTTTTGAAACTATCCTTCCATCCCCCATCTTTAACTCCCTGCTCGCTGGCGCTTGTTTCTTAGCCATCGTCGGCGAGCCTTGTTCTTCAGCGTCTTTTTTTAAAAAAAAAAAAAAAATTTCTGTTTTCTTTTCGTTTTCCTTGGTATAGAAATAAGCTAAGGGAAGTTGCAGAGAGTTTATTTGTTCTTAACAATCGTTGGGTTTCGGGGTGTCGTCAAGTGATTTAGTTTCAATTTAACTAACGAATTGAAGAGAAAAAATATTCTTAACGCCGTCGTCGAAAGGAATATTGTTAATTATTTTCTAGACGGTAAAGGTGAATTTAAGACTAGGGTTTTCCTCCCTTAACTTAAGGTTTGATATGGGTGAGGCGGTCTTCTAGCGTTGGCTTTTGCGACTAGTTGTGGTTCGTTTCAGACGGTGACATAGTTGTTTTGGGTTCCTTTGCGTCTTCAAGGTCTCACGCGTCTCTTTGTGAGCTTTTATTACTAGTTAGCGGTTGTTTTTGTTTTTGTTTTGGCCTGTTAGTTGGGATTGAAGGAGAAACTGCTTTCTAGGCCGGGTAAGGAAGTTTTGATTAAAGTTGTGGCTCAGGCAATTCCAACCTATATGATGAGTATTTTTAAGCTCCCTTATGGTCTTATTGATGAAATTCATGTTATATATGTTCGCGCGGTTTTGGTAGGGCTCTACATAAACGGCTAGCAAAATGCATTGGCAAAGATGGGTGCTCTTATGTCGTCCCAAAGCAAGTGGTGGGCTGGGATTTCGTGATAAAAAATTCTTTAATAAGGCATTACTTGCAAAACAGGTATGGAGATTGCATCACAATCCTGGTACTCTTATTCACACAAATTTGAAAGCAAGATATTTTAAAAACTGCGATGTTCTTGAAGCTAGTAGTGATTACGACCCGAGTTATGCATGGAGGAGTATGTGTGGTGCTAAGGAGTTAGTTTCTCCTTGAAGGTCTCAAGTGGAGAGTTGCGACGGGTTGTGCTACTAGCGTATGGAGTGATGCGTGACTGCCCGGAAATTAACCAGCTATTGTTCCAACTCCTATGCCTACGAGTGATATAACATTAAGGGTATGTGACTTAATTGACCATACTAGTGGTGCGTGGGATATGAGTGTTATTAATTGCAATTTTAATGCTGATGATGTTGTAAAAATCTTGACCATACCATTATCTCCTAATAGCCCCCCTGATAGAATGTTTAGGTGGCCTTCGAAGTGTGGGATGTATAGTGTGAAGTTGGGGTACTGGTTGAGTAAATGCGAGCATAGTATGAAGCAAAACATGAATGTGAATGATTTTTGGCGCTTGATTTGGTCCTTAAGGTGTCTTCCAAAAATGCAGTACTTCTTATGGAGAGCTTGTAAAGGATTTCTTGATGTAAAGGAATGCCTCTTCTATATCGCCATATTACCTGGATAAGACTTGCTCAATTTTGTAATAACCACGAGTAGTATATAATTCACGCCACTTTTTGTTGAAGAATAAACCTCTCAAGTGTCACCACATGTATGTGTCCCACATTGGTTGAAGAAGAGAGAGGTAAACACTTTATAAGGCTAAGGGGCTACTCCTCCTATTTCCATATGGTTTTGGGATTTAACCTCCTTGTACTTGTGAAGTGAACTCTCTCTCTCTTGGTTTGCGGGTGCGGCCCAGACCCGCGTTTGACATGGTATCAGAGCTAGACCCACGATATGGGACCTTAAATGGCTAAAGTTCACTGGGCCAAGAGTAGGTCCGTGTGAGGGGGAGTGAAGAAGCACTCTAGCCCGAAAAATCACATGAGACAAAGTTAAAAGGGACATTACATGTGAGGGGGAGTGTTGAAGAATAAACCTCTCAAGTGTCACCACATGTAAGTGTCCCACATTGGTTGAAGAAGAGAGAGGTAAACACTTTATAAGGCTAAGGGGCTACTCCTCCTATTGCCATATGGTTTTGGGATGGAACCTCCTTGTACTTGTGAAGTGAACTCTCTCTCTCTTGGTTTGCGGGTGCGGCCCAGACCCGCGTTTGACATAAAGATTATGTGGCACATACTGTACAAGCGACGAGTCCTCCTAGTTCACCTTCTCCATGCTCCTCAGGTACTCCCTATCTTATAGCACATTATGTGAATTGTGAAATTTTTTCCCTGCGACACCGTATATTTCTTGTAGCTGTAATTGCAGGCACTGAGCCCCGTAATTTCAAAGAGGCTATAACAGATGCAGGGTGGAGAGAAGCAATGCGAAAAGAAATTGCAGCATTGGAAGATATTCAGACTTGGGTAATGGCACAATTACCTCCGGGGAAGAAGGCTCTCGGAAGCAGATGGGTTTATAAAATCAAGTACAATTCTGATGATACGGTTGAACGATTAAAGGCTCGTCTGGTCATATTTGGAAACCACCAGGTTGAGGGCATTGATTATAATGAGACGTTCGCTCCGGTGGCTAAAATGGTCAAAGTTCGAACTTTCTTAGCGGTTGCAGCGGCGAAAAATTGGGAATTGCATCAAATGGATGTTCATAACGCTTTCCTTCACGGTGATCTTGATGAAGAGGTATATATGAAGCCACCTCCTGGGTTTCATGGTAGCAAACCAGGAATGGTTTTTCGTCTTCAGAAATCGCTTTATGGTCTATGTCAGGCACCTCGTTGTTGGTTTGCCAAACTTGCGGGATCACTCAAAAGGTATGGCTTTAAACAGTCATATTCTGATTATTCTCTGTTTACTCTGAATCATGGGAATGTCCATCTTAGTGTTCTGGTGTATGTTGATGATTTATTGATTTCTAGCAATTCTGCTTCTGTGATTTATGATTTCAAGGCGTATTTGAATGATTGTTTTCATATGAAATATTTGGGTGTGTTGAAATACTTCCTTGGTATTGAGGTTTCTCGTAGTCCGGAAGGCATATTTTTGTGCCAACGGAAATATACTCTTGATATTATTGCAGAGTCTGGTTTATTAGGGGCACGCCCGACAGGTACTCCAATTGAGAAAAACCACACTCTGGCAAAGTCAGAGGCACCTCCTATTGCAGACCCCAAAATGTATCGGCGTCTTGTGGGTCGTTTGATCTATTTGTCTTTCACTAGACCAGATTTGGCATACGCGGTTCATATTTTGTCCCAATTTATGCATTAACCTCGTCAAGATCATTGGGAGGAAGCTCTTCGTACGGTGCGCTACTTGAAGGGTTGTCCGGGTCAAGGTATTCTTTTGAGATCAGACTGTGAATTACATTTGACAGGATGGTGTGACGCGGATTGGGCTAGTTGTCCTCTTACGAGACGATCAATTACAGGTTATTTGGTGTTTCTTGGTGATTCTCCTATTTCTTGGAAGACTAAGAAGCAGGATACCGTCGCTAAATCTTTTGCAGAATCTGAGTATTGTACGATGTCTAAGGCCACTGATGAGTTGAAATGGTTGAAGGGTCTTCTTGGCAGTTTAGAAGTTTCCCATCCGCAAGCGATGAGTTTATTTTGTGATAGTCAGTCGGCGTTGTATATTGCGCAGAATCTGGTCTTTCATGAACGTACGAAGCATATTGAGGTTGATTGTCATTATGTTCGGGATGCAATTCAGGAAGGGATTATTAGACCATCTTATGTGAAGACCACGGATCAATTAGCGGACATCTTTACTAAGGCATTAGGCAAGCAACAATTTTTGTATTTACTTGGCAAGTTGGGCATTTGTGATTTACATGCTCCAACTTGAGGGGGGG